CAATGGCTGTCATAAAGCGAAGGTTATTTGTTTCTTATTGCAGCTCTTTTATATATAACTGTGCTTGGTGCCTTTTATATTCTTTTCAATTTGGCTGCAGTTGCAATACACTTTCAAGACAGGGAGGGTATTGACGCTGAATTTAGATGACTCCATTACAGGATTGCTGTGATAAAAAATGAGCTGCTCTTGTTTCTTAAATGCTTCATACAGAAAAGATGGGGGAGTCTTCTTTTTCTGGAGGCTTTAGACAGTCAAAGTTCATTGTCACGAAAGGTTGCCAAAATATTTAGGAACACACGTTTTACAGCTTTAAGTTTAAATTAATTATTTATTACATGTTTTAGCCAATGGCAGGGCATGGAACTCTCAAGAGAGACTTATCTGTGAGTGTATAGCATGCAGCACAGAATGATGACACCTTGATTGAACTGGATGCTTTGTTGTCGACATTGTGTGGTCACCAGGGTGCAGTTTGTAATTGCTTTTTAATTGTGTAGTGTGTTCTGCTGATGACAGTTCATTACAAGTTTCTGTACTACTGCAGACCATCCTTTTACATCTATTGTAGGCAAATTGTAGTCACTGACTTTCTCTGACAACTGTCCATAACTACAAACTGTCCACAACTACAAATTGTGTATTGGTACCACTTCATTCGTCTCTTCCCAATTTTTGAAACAGATAAATGAAGTGGTAGCAATACACAATTGTTTTCAGGGTAGACCACCAAAAAACAAACAACACTAATGCTTTAACGTGCCGTGCTCTAGGTGTCAGCTTAGCGTAATCATTTTGAACATTTGTCCAAAAAGGAACCAGTGTGCTTTCAGTGAGGCTAAACCATTTTTGGCTTGTGCTGTGCTTTTTATTCTGTAGTGTCTGAACTCTGTGAGACTCATCATGTGAGCAACATCCCCAATTTTATGTTTGTCCCCTGATTCTAGACATCGACTACAACAGCAATACGTTGTCCTCATATGAAATGGCCAGCCTGTGCATGCATTTCCTTAAGCGGAATTGATTAATTCTGTGCAGTATGAATTAGAGATGGCTCAGAATGCCCTGTGTGCTTATTCACACCCTGATGACCACCTGTTAAGCACCAAATTGAGAAGATTACAATGAAGCTCTAGTTGTTACAGCTTGAGTCAAAATAATACAAATAAATTACCTCTAATAATATTTCTAAAAGACATCGCTGCATTTGGTGAAATGGTAATTCTTGCAAGTGTGGATGACAATTATGTTCTGATACAATGCTGGCCTAAGGGAGATGAACTGGGAGGTACGAAGTCAGCTCCTCTGATTTACAGGGGAAATCAAATTAAACATTCTTCGCCTTGATTAGGTGGCTCACAGCGCCATTATGCAGTGCGCATTTCATCTCTGTTCAGGAGTCCTCCAGCTCAGTTGTTGTGCATTTTATCCCCAAATTACAAATCCTCCTAATTCTGCAGCAGGTGCAGAGGCAAAGGATGAAGGAAGTGAGAAAGGAGGAATAAAAACATGCACACAAAGGCTAAGGCTTTCATATCCATCTACACTGGCATTGTGGGGTTACGTCCAATTATTGTAATAATTGTTTAAGAGTTTGTTAGAATAAAACCGAAAAGTTTTAATCACTAATCTCTTGTGAAAGGCCTTGGATCCCAGACTACATACTTGTTAAATTAATTTCCTTCATGAATACTTTTCAGTGGCGGCGCACATTTGTGAGTTAAGGCTCCCACTGGGCTCCTTTCTTTGTCTCTCTTTTGCAACACCTGGCTTATTTTTCCTCTCTCCCCCTTCCTCCCTCCTTTTCGCTTTTAGAGCCTCAGTTCACTTTTTCAAAGGGAGTTTAATGATATTATGCCTCCGACTAATCTAATAGATTAGACTAATTTTTGAAATGTTGGAGGATTTTGAGCCCAATCCAAGCAGGCTTGCTTTTTAAGCAACTTGACTGTTTACCACTTAAATTCTGAGAAGTTTAGAAAATGCCCTCTTCTGTTTTAAATTCTCCCCTATTTAGTGTATAGCACATTATATATTAAAAAAAACACAAGTGCTGTGCAGCCTGTTGACGTGACTGCATCCTTAATAAAATAGTATGGTTACTAATTTTACTGAATCACAGTTTGCCACCTCATCTACTTAAATTCATCTGTTCATGAAGAGCTTTAGAATGATTGAAGCTCTTTATTTTTCCTTAGTTCACATCTAATCTCTTAAATGAAAAAAAAAACAAACATATGCTGTATTAAGTACAGCTAGTACATACTTTTTTATTTTCTTCTTAGAGGTAGTTTGAGAGGAATATTATACAAAAATGTGTTAACTGTCCAAAAATAATTTATCGAGCACTTCTAGAATCACTTGAGGTATTTGTGAAATACAATGCAATGTCAGCAGGTACACTTTTCTGTTTTCTAGTGGCAGGAGGTGTTGTTGTTCAAGTCATGGGAGGTTAAGTGATACCTCTTGTTGTTTAATGTGTGTTGGGCTTGAAAAACTTTGCTTTATTGAGTTTTACTCTTTGGTTTATGGCTGCATAGATCACTGTGAAACAAAGCTCAGTGAAAGATTGCACCATACAGCCTTGATGAGCAAAGCACATTGAATTGAGGTAAAGATTGAATGTGGTGAAATTACATTTGACAGCTTTTAGAAAAGAGATCGAAGATATTTTTTCCTACCTTTCCCAGACTCCGATTTTGGTACAAGCCTGTATCCTTCATTTTCATGCTGTTTACATAAGTGCACAAAGTTATTGGTTTCTCCAGCTGGGCCAGGGGAATCAAAGCCTTTATCATGGGACTGACAAATCACTTAGAGGGAATGCAATTATTTCCATTGAGCCACCTGCAGGGCCAAGGGTCAAAAATTTGATAGCGGTAAATGAAGCATTCAGGCCCACCCACTTCAAAAGACCAAAACAACATAAATGTAATTTCCATGATCATTGGAAAATATTATGCATGATATTCCCGATCTTTCCCCCTGCCTGTGTCAACAGCAAAGCTGGTGCTGGATGGGATGTCTTAACTGTGTCTGTACACTACTTAGGAAAATCAAACTCTTTTCAGTGTGTTGATTGCATTAAGTCAATTAAATTGGCAGTATTCACTGGGCTGGGAAAATTGCAAACTTTGAAAACTGGCAGTCAGTTTTAGACATGGTGCAGCTTTCAGACAGAAGCCTTCTTATGTGGCAGGAGCTAAAAGTTACATTAGTCTAAAGACTTTTTTTTGCCTTCATTAAATATTTTGCACATGCGTCTCCAGCTCCAGCCAGAAACAACAAATAGGTGGTAACAACAAATAGGTGGTAGTGTCAAAGATTTACGCTAGGAAGGCTTTGAATTATAGGAGGGGAAACTGTGCCAACACGCTTTATAGCTGATGTGAAGTGTTGGAGAATGAGAGGGGTCCAGTACAGACAGAAGGCAGAATACTGATGGAATGGAAAACCATTGCATTCATGTAGGAAGGCGAAGAATAAGATTTTCACTTTCACATTTTGAAAAGTGACATGTGAAAGTTTTGAAGCGTATGATCTATGCATTCGAACCCTTGTTTGAGGGCACTTATCAGTAAGTATGTGTGCAGGAGGAAGAACTGTGCAGTTTACCAGTAGGTACAGTATTTCAGCTGACACATGTGAGGCAATTTAAGGAGATGGCTTGTGTTATGGACTCACACTGTGGATCAGGTTTTGTTGGTTGTAAAAATGAAATCTCTGAATTTTGTGGCTGATTGGTCACACGTGATCAGAGGCTGCTGGCAATTCAACTTCCTTATTTCATGTCAAAAGCTGGATTGATCTCGGGGATGGATTCCATGCAGTGTAAGGTTCAGTACCACATAATTTTTAAATGTGGGACAAGTTCCCTGCAAAGACAGTTAGCTCTCTGCACCACTCTATAGAAAAAAGTAGGCACAGCAATCTTGTGTTAATTCCCAATGTGCTTGGGACACTTAGGACATTGGAAATTAACACCTAAGATGTCCAATCTCATTTGATGTTCCCAATATCCATTATCTGAGACACACATTGAATTGTTTTTAAGGGCAGCTTCTGGAGATCTGTACTATGTGCCGCTTATTAAATGGCACTGTATATATATTTACGAAAAACTCATAAAAGGGTGTAGTTCTAGTACTTAAAAATACAGTACAATTACAACGATAATAACATTCTAATAAAACAGGGTATACACAGTAGTTGATGTGCATTGGTGTCAAATTCAATTAATATATAAAAAAAGACAACATAATGAAATGCTTAACTAATTTGTTTAGTCCTAAATCTTAAATAAAAGCAGTTACAGACTAAATAGAATTGCAATGTATTGTAGAATCACAGTTTCAACATAAACGCCTGAGTGTCAACATTTGAGATAAAATAAAACACTGAAATCATAGCTTTAAATCATAAATAAGATGTTTTATTCACTTTTTCCCAAAATCAAGCCTTCATTTATTGCATCAGAAATGTATAACTTGCCTGGAATACAATAAACAACTATTAATTTATGACAGAGAGCCCTATGGGCTGGTTTTTAATATAGATTTTTTACACCCCATACAGAATCCTAACAAAACATGTTGAAACTGTTTAAAGGTGCAGTTTTTCTCCACTACATTATGATCAGACAAAGACAAATATTAAAAAATGGTACAGATAGGCACCTGTTTTTACTTTGGTTTACAAAAATGTGAAGAGGTTACCAACTTTGTGGAATGTTTACCTTTCATACCATTCTTACAGAAACTGCAGAACACGTGCATTGCTTACAAAAATAAAGGAAAATATCTGCATTATACAAATATTTTCTCATTTAAATGCAACTGTTTTCTGAAAGACAATGTGTAAGTATCCCCAAATGGTTT